TATAACATTTTTACGTGGCATATTTGGTTAGATTTCTTGAAATTTTATAATATTGGTATCAACAATATTATGAAGTGTCCCGCATATTCCATACAACATCACAATATGTATGAACATATAGGTCAGAAATGGTAAAAAGAAAATATCTTTGAACACCGAAGACTGGGAAGAGAACTATGAAGAAGAGACTGAAACCTGGTAGACTGAGTGCTGGAAGTAATACAGATACTAAGATTTAAGATGTTTTAATCCTTAATCAAAAAATAGCAACAAGAAGATTTATTCTATCTAGGTTGGATTTGCATAGTATTTAACATGTTTATTGTGTTTAACTTTATTTTGTGCTTGAAAATAATATAATTGGGAGCCAGTTATTGGGGGTAGTTGATGGCAGCACATCCCAAAGAAGAGAAATGCACTTGTGTCCCCAATGGTACTGAATGGGGATAGAGGTACCAGCTTGAGCGCTTTGTCAAAGGGATGGGTATTGAGGGCTTATATTTAAAGAAATGCTACTAGGAAGCTGATGTAAAGGAGAGCCTAAAACCAGGAGAAGCACCAAACTCAGGAGTCAAGGGACTGTCTGTTTGAACAGAACCTGTCACAATGGGATTTGTGGTCTTTGGGTGCTGCTGCAATACAAATTGCCTAGTTCAGGACAGGCAAGATAAGGTAAAACCCCTCTTGAAATGTCTGGGCCCTCATGAATAAAACTGAAATTCTTTTTTAGTAGATTTTTAAGCCAATATTCTATTAAAGAAATTTAGTGCCGATTTAGCAGCAAAGAAACAACATCTCTTAATCCACTGAACAGATAAGGTAAGGTGGTACTATTACAAATCCCCACATATTGCTCCATCAAAATGAATCCAAGCCTATTGTGAATGGACCAACTCTCAAGTTGAGGAAAGGCTACTTATATATTCTATCCTTGGCCTCTAAGCAGGGACTCCAAGCAAGAGATGCAACTATAATGGTGGTTTTCTTTCTGAGAGAATCTATCCACAGAAAACTGGACTACAGCTGATTTCATAATGGTCGGAGAGTCTTAAATTACTTGAGCCCAAGGCTCCTCACCCCTTTCCACCAAAATTCTCAATCCGACTGTCAACCATTTAGTAACATGCTCCTCTCCACTTTGGCCTTACTGGTGGGGATGCAATGAGGGTTTGGGTTTTGGCTGAGCTGTTTTTCAGGGTTTTCTTTGATATCTACAAGTGGCACAGTTGCCAAATACTGACCGGCCAGTAAGAGGTCATCTAAGTATGCAGCAGGGAGAATGACTTACTTTTTTTAGGAGAGACTAAGGAGATCTACCCATGGGGAATTTAAACAAACTGCTATTTGATGCAGTTTGATGCCTCCCAAGGAGCGTATGATTTATCAAAATACCTCCAAGATCTGCGAATGAGTCATTGCTGCCAGGGATGGGCTCCCAAGTGGGAAGGAGTTTCAGGAGGCATAGATCTTACTGTATGTAGAAAAAGGAAAAGGGGCTCATTGCATACAGCTACATTCAGTCTAGTACATTTCTAAGAAAATTGCTTGTTGAATTCATTGACACTAATCTTGGGAAAATAAGTTCATGGGATTTAATCCTTTGTCATGTTTTATCAACATTAGCCACTAATGCAAGGTCTGTTCTACTAAGTAGATTGGCTCCTGTGTCCTAACAAGAAAAGGAGTACTTGTGGCACCTTAGAGACTAACCAATTTATTTGAGCATAAGCTTTCGTGAGCTACAGCTCACTGTAGCTCGCAAAAGCTTATGCTCAAATAAATTGGTTAGTCTCTAAGGTGCCACAAGTACTCCTTTTCTTTTTGCGAATACAGACTAACACGGTTGTTACTCTGAAATGTGTCATAACATGACCCTACCATTTCCTCTTTGGGTTTCTCTTGCATGTCTTACTGTGAAAATGATATAATACAATTATGTAATAGCTTACATTTTCAGAGTGCTATAGAAACTTAAACTATGTGTTGTTGAGTCCTGGGTACCTGATACCGCACCTCTTTAGTGTTTGGCAATTCTCAGTAAGAGGCCTCGCCTCTGGAATTTTCTTCTTCTATTTGGACAGATATAATTTTTTGACATTTGGGGCACTGTGGAAAGCTTATTGCTCTTCAGAGGCTTTACCTTATTGGTGATATTGGTATCTTTGTTTGTTTTAACCTTTTGGTTTAAAAGATAAATTGCTACTTAAAAGAGAAATTAAAATTACTTCTTAAAATATCAAACTTGTAGGATGTTCTATGGCTCCTAGTGTGCTTTATGATGAGTACAAAAGGAATGTCTGTTACAACAGGGTCCATGAAAGAGTGACTACTGGGAAAGACTTAATAAACTCAGTAATCCTTAACAAACACATGCAGCTTATGAATCAAACTATATATTTGAACTGTGGGGTTCAAAAGAAGCTTGTTTTGTATTCCTGATCAGGAAGCTTTAAATTGTTTACTTGTAATGTAGTGCTCCTGGGAATCTTGGCTCTAAAATCTTGAAACTCTGCTGCTTGAGTTTAGACACAAGTTTGCTAGCTCAAAGTCAGGAGCACATTCATAAACCTCTGTGGTACAGACACTGGGGAGGGGCAGAGAACCACACTGTAAGCGTGGATTACAGCTGAACTAGGAAGAGGTCTTGCAAAATAAGGCAGAGGTTCTGTGGAAATAGTATGTCATCATATAATTAGACATATATCCTGTGTCTGTAAAAGGGATCTGAATTAAGTTTGCACAGGCAACCTTAATTCTTGCATTTTCTAACCTTTTTGTGTGCTTGACTTTGCAACCTTAACATTTTTAATGTAGCTTTTTGTATGTAGTTAAAACATAGCAGCAAATACACAGATACAGTCTACTTAGACTAGAGCAAAGAAGATCATATAACATGTCTTCACTGTTGGTCTCAAATCTTCATCCTAGCTGACTTCTGTTAGATGTTTAGCTAAATAAGTTACCCATTTAAATAATGGTTTGTTTACATTTAGTGCTCAGTTTCTCTAGATAAAACACTGGTGGTTGGATTCATTTCCCAAAGGAAATTTATACTGTTTGTGTTTTGACTACGGTTCCTAGGCTGAGATCTGAAAAGATCTGTTCCCTGAACTTCAGTATGAAAATACTTTAACAAAGCATCCAATAATTCTGAATTGTTATCACCATTTAGATTTAATCTGAATACTTGTTGCTGTAGCAAATCTCTTTGATCAGGAAGGTAAATTCTGCATTCCCTTTAGAATTCTGATTTAGGCTGTTCCTCAAATCCAGAATGGGGCACACAAACATCTCATGTGAAAACCTTCTGGTGTTTTACCACTGCAATGCTGATAACTATCTTCTGGTAGGCAAGAGTCCTACCCAATAGGGGAGAGTGAGGAGTATCTTCAAGGTAGCAGTGGATTGCCATTGGGCCAGATCTTTGTCTCATTCAATAACCAGCATATTGGTTCATAAATATATTATTGGTTTTTAAATCAGTTGCTAGACTAGAGGCTGGTGGGCTAATATTCTTTGTCCTTACTGTTTTGAAGCAGATTCTTTTCTTTAAACTTCTCTACTGCTGGACAGTGCAATAACGTCTGTCTAAGAAAGCAGGCAAGTGGTTGGTTGAGGCCAATAATCTTTGATTAGGAAGGCTAGGGTTTTCTCTTAATACCTCCATCTGCCCTTCTCGTCAGAGGATGAAGTTAATGGAACTAGCTTTAATTTAGATTTAGCTTTAATTTGGAAATGCAAGCTTCCCAATATTCTCACCAGTATGGCTCAGTCTCTTGCCAGGGGTGGAGGTACAGGCTCTGTCCAGTGTCAGTCCTTGTGTTCTCTTCTGGGGTTGGTACCAAAGATACTGCTTAGAAGTCAGGTATTCTAGTTGACAGGCAACCACATTATAAAAGACTGTCGACTATTTAGTGTATATAGGCCACGCACTGTCAGAAGGCAACAGTAGGTCACATGTGCCCTGGATCACATCTGACTGATGAGCTAGGAGTGATAGGCATATCAGTTGAAATTAATGTCATGTTTCTGGGAATAAATTACTTGTTTCTGGGATGCTGGCAAGGTCTGTTTGAAATGTCTTTTTAAAAGAAAATTTGCAAAAGTTAGCTCCAAGAAGATATTTTTTCAAAAATATTGTGTATTCCATTTTTAATAGTGTTAACTTCTGAACTTGCCTTCAGAATTGTTATACACATGTTTAAGGTAACTGTGTACATGAAAACTAATTGGATTTTTCTGTACCTGGTGCAGTTCTAGTTAGTTAACCTGAATACTAAATTTATTTTAAAAAAAAGAAAAAGAAAAAAAGTGGGAGGGACCATTTTCCTTCTGCAATGGCTTGCTGTGTAAGGCAGGAGAATATCTTCAACTTTATTTTTAAATACAAAGGGGTACTGTTAACTTGAAAACTAGTCACTTTAGGGAAAATGCATTATCTTGTATATTACTCCCTCCTATTGAATCCCCTTTCCAATTTGTGTTTTCCCTCTGTGGTTTGAGAGAGACATTTCCCCCCAAATAGAAAATTGATTGTACAAGGGAAACAGTGAGGTTCACTGTCCATTCCGTGCTGCCAAATACTTAAAGTAAATAGTATGAAAAATACTTCATTACTGAAGTGACAGATGAATGTGAGATTTGTTATACGTAATACTGAATAATGGTAAGTTTAAAAAAAAAATGTTCAGAAGTGGGTTCTAAAGTTAGTGTCCTTTAAAGTTCCCTGGCTCAATTCCCTCAGAGTGCTTTTTTGGGGAGAGGTGCTTTTATAAATAAAATGTATGTATAAAATGTAATTTATACTTAAATTGGAAGCTGAAGCAAGTGTAAGGTGGCTTAGTAACTTGCTATTGTCACCCCATGCTTTTTTCAAGTTTTGGTTTTGGGTCCTCATTCTGTTTCAGGAACATGTAGAAATGTATTAAATTTTAGTGATCATGATTCTTTCAACTTCGAATAAAATATAGTTGGATTTATTTATATATTTATTTTGACAGAATGAAACTAGTACAGAGAAAACTGTCAATTCTATAGATCTTGAGAAACAAGACTCTCCTCCACCAAAGCCTCCACGGACCCGCAGGTACTGTTCACCTTCTCAGTTTTGAGCTTAGAGAGTTATAAAGTTTATACTTAAATGACCAATCCTGTCTCGTTTGATATTTCTAATGGCCCATATTTTGCGTGAACAAATAGATTTTGTGCAAGTGTAACAAGTATTAATTTACATAATTCCAAAGGCAAGTTAAAATGTAATTTACACAGCAATTGTTCCACCTTGTTCTAGCAATTTGTCTTAGGACACTGAATAAAAGTCTTGCATCACAGCAACACCACGTGTGATATTTAACAGAAATCCTAACCTAGTCAACTGTTACATGGTCTCAAGATAATATACTTCAGAGATTCAGACACGTATATAATTAAATTAATGTTGAAAGTATGTTTTAATGGGGTATATTTTGACCTTTGAATGTATTTTTGCAAACTTTAGGGGGCAAATTTACTGTTTTGAGTGTTGTAAATCAAGTGCTGCTTCTTTCCTGTTTGGGCTGTGAAGAGTGTGTGCCTTGTTTTTATAGTGTGCATATAGTTAACCTCTTCCATGCTTCCCTTAGTATGGGGTATTAGAAACTCTTCAAATTATATATTTTTTCCACCCGCTCAAAAAAAAGAAACAAACAAAAAACAAACAAAAGAAACTTCTTAGCAAAGCCTTGTTGGCAAAACAAAAGAACTTTGGAATATGGAAGCCAAGCTATTTAAAGATTATCCAGAAAAAGTAAGGAAAGCCTTCAAAAAGGTAATAGTAAACTTTTTTGAATCACCATGGCTCAGATTTTTAAAGCTATTTAAGCATTGTTGCACTCAATATCACAACACCTAACTGATTTAGGAGTCTATGCATCATTTGGGATTTAGGCACTTAGGAGTCTACGGACTGGTCTGCACTGGGGGTGGTGGTGGTAGGGGGAATTGATCTAAGTTACGCAACTTCAGCTACATGAATATGTAGGTGAAGTCAATGTACTTAGATCTGCGGTAAGTTGACGGCTGACACTCTCCCGTCTACTCCGCCTGAGCCTCTTGCCCTGGTGGAATACAGGAGTCGACGAGAGAGCGCTCGGCTGTAGACACGATAAATCGATCCCCGCTGGATCGATCGCTGCCGGTCGATCCAGCGGATAATGTAGACAAGCCGTAAATCAGCAATATTATGAAGACTTTTAGGCTGCAGCTAATGTTCTGACTGCATAGTCATAGCAATAGAAGCATGTTGAAGGGAGGATGTTTTAGAGCTTCCCCTAAATTGTCTATTTACAAAACTAACAAAGACATTTACTTTGTCATATTTCCCCCGATCCTGTAGTATCTAATGCACACAAAAGCTATTATAATGCTATTTTTGGTTGTGTACAGTATATGCACAAACTTACATACAGTGTTGTCTGTTATACATTGATATTTAAAGGTTATATTTGTAAAGGTAAAAAGGAAGAACACTTTAATAATTAAGAGGAATGGTTTTACCAATTGACCTTTTATTCATTCCAAGAGAAAAAACTTAAAACTGAGAAGTTGGGAGACTGGATGTACAGATGTAAAATAGCTTGCAGAGACAGGCACACAGGGCTCTAGAGATACCTCCAGAAAAAAGAGAGTGAAAGGAAAATATGAGAAATGGAGTGACTCTAAATAGTTAGTTTTTTGCTCCCTTTCTAGAAAGATAAACATAAGCAATTGGAACTTTAAAGCAGGCAATAGTTGGGAGACAGCATGAAGAAAAGATGGTGAAGGAAGACCTGATTTTTTGGGGGTGAGGGGAGAATCAGATCTACATAAGAGGCGTCACTCTTTTTTGGGTGAGGTGGGGAGTGTGTGAGCAGCTGAGACTTCTGAATAGCCAAATTTTTGGTGCACATGTTAGATACGTGCCTTGTTATATCTAATGTAATATACCAGGTAACTTTCTCTGGCACTTTTTCTAATATTTCCTTATTTTCAACAATATGTAAACAATATAATTAATCTCCATCTCAGAATTATCTGCATGTTGAATTGCTTAAACCCCCTTGTTTTGCTTTTTATTTTTCTCATACTTGTTTCTCTTATCAAACTAGTTTTAAATTGAAGGGTTCTAAGATTTTTTTTTTCCTTAAGGTCAGAAACATTTTGGTGAAATAATATGCAGTTTCTTGTTTTTAAAAAAAAAAAAATGAAAAAATGGAGGTACCTGATGATGACTGACCAGCAAATTTAGTACCTTTATTTTTAAGGGCATAAAGGAAGATACAGGAAATAACCAGTCAATGAATATTTTCTTTGCAAAATATTTAGACATATAATGGAATTAGTGACTGCACTTGTGAGGAAATGAAGCTGTTCAATCAACCAACTCATTTATAGAGTAATACTGATAGCATTTTTTGAAACATTTACTGTTTTGGTAGATACAGCATATATTTGGTCTTTATAAAATATTTTATATAGTACAGTATAAAAATGTTTTCAGTTGGTTAAATACCATAGCACAGATTAAAAATTGTATGACAGATGTTAGTTTTTACCATTAAAAATTAATCTCTTCCAAATGGAGTACCACAGGGTCAAGTCAATATTGGGGACATATACTATTTAATACTTTAATGATCTAGAAGAAGGCCGAAGATCAGCATTAATCATACTTGCCAGCCTCCGAATTGGAGGAATATTAAACATAAGGATGATGTATCCACACTAAGTGGCTTGGAGAGATTAGAACTGTGAGTTGTATACAGTAAAATGGGATTTAAGACTGAAGTCCTTTTGGCTGGAGAGAAAAATAGCATGTGTACAAACTGGAGATAAAAGCTGTCTAGAAACTAGTGAGTCAGAATGAGTGGAGAGAACATGTAAAATGCATCTGAGATCACATTGCAGTACTGTTAGAGAGAAGTTAATTCTGTTCTCAGAAATAGTGATTTAATTTAAAACTAGATCCACTTTGACTCTGCGTCGATAAATGATTGTTTCAGAGCTAGAATATTTCATGCAGTTTTGCGATCTACTTGAGGGTACCAAAAAAATGCAGAGGAAACCACATGAGTGGCAAGGAAATCTTATCAGGATTAGAAAATAAAATGAGATCCTGAGTAGGCTAAATTTAGAGTCTGGAAAGGATGTCTTACAGGAACGTAATCAGCCTAAACAAATACCTTCAAGGAAATAGAAGTGGAAAAAATGTTCACATTCTTGCAAGATGACATGGAAAGGGGCAATAATTTTAAGGCCCTTTTCCCTAAGACTGACCTACTTCTCTCCTGTCCCCCTTCTCTTACCCCCCACTTCAGTAGTTTGGACATTGGAGCTATTCTCAGAAGTGGTGGTTGTTTGGGAGAATATTATGTAAGAGATTTAGTGGGTAAAATAGTCCTGAAAAAGGTGTGGCATTCAGCTCAATCTGTGTGGTCTTTTCTGACCCCTGCTACTGTACCTTTGCATGACTTTTGGAGGTGGGACTAACTTCTGCCACTTCGTAGTTTCTTATGGTGGAGACAATTATTGTTGTAATGCTCATGGTGTGCCAGATGCATCCCAAATGCAGATGAAGATATAGTCCCTGGCTGGAGAACCTAAAATTTAAAAACCCAAATGGAGAAAACTTTACTTGTATGTAACAATCCTATCAGGGTGACACCCTCATGTCTGTCTTGTTATACTGTGTTGTCTTGTTATCTTGCACACTACTATCTTCCCTGTCTTTCTCCCACAACAATTCCAAATTTTAATTCCAGTGCCACTATGCCCCTTCTTTTCAATATTCTATTTCCTTCCTCCATATAGGTGAGACTAAAAATATTAATAAGATAAACAGACTCGCTAAGTGGGTTACAGACCTCTTGTTTCTGGATATCTCCTTGTAGAAATGTTTTTTAGGTGGGATTTAAATAGGGTGCAGTGGCTTTTTCTGACCAGTTCCACATTCCTAGTCTATTCTGAATAAATTGCTTGTTCAAGTATTTAGCTTCCTTCAGGAATATTGGTGGAAAATGTTTAATCTTCTTTAGATTAACATTTTTAAGACTTCCAGTCAAATGGGTACTTAAGAGAATATATATGTCCAGTTTCTAAAGGGGTTAAAAGCAAGCAACTGTTCTTACCCAAGGTAGTAACTTAAAAGGGGGAAAACAATAAGACCTTTTATTTTCTTTTCGTAATGCTCTTTGAGATGACTTTAGAAAATAAGCAATCAAAAATTGCTCCTGTCTTTAACACTAATCAGCAAGCTGTAGGTTTTATAAATTCTTTATAGCTTTGCTTTTAAACAAACTGAATGGAAAACTTCACTAACTGTATGCATGCACCTGAGTAACTGTCTACATGTATGATATGCTCAATTAAGCAACAAAATTTGTTAGTGCATGAATGAATAGGCCATGGGATATATTTAATATGTTATGGAGCACAAGGCTTGAGTAATTTCAGAAACCCCCAAAAATTCATGAATGGTCCATCAGTCCAGGTTCTGGAGAATCTTTGGTTTTATAAATCTATTTACCTTTTTTAAAGATTCTTATCTTTCTGTGTTAAGTAGTATGATAAAAAATAACTCTGTGCTAGCTTTATTGAAGCAAAGAAACAAAATTACTCTTCAGAAATCTGGTCCTAAAACTGCTTTTTCTGCCCCCCAAGAGTAGTGGCATGACCATTGAGCCATCACAATTGAGCAGAGTTTCTCACTGTAGAGATGGAGGAAGATGGAGATGGCAGAGTGGAGTAAGGAACTGGGCCAGCACATCAAATCCCTATCAGTCTTTACTTCTGCTCTAGAGCTATAGAACTCCTACTGCTATCACAAATTACCTGGATTTCATGTCCCAAAAATCTGTGGATGCATTTTGGCAAGAAGTTATTTTCTTACTATGGCATCCCACTAACATGCCCTTTTCTAGCTCTTGGCTCACATTCCCATATGACCCCCCTAATCATTCCTTTTCTCTGCACTTCACTCCCCACTTACATGTGGTCAGTGGTAATACTACTTACCAGTTTCTGATTCTAACCTTTTTCCTTCCGTTATTGCAGGGATATGTTTAAACAGTT